TTAACAGCACGCGGCACGTCGTATCGCGAGCAGGGCAAGAGACCATCCAATTGATGGTCAGAGTGGTCAGGATAAGGGAATGGTAGTGGATGGTCAGTGTGGTGACGTAGGTAGATGGTCAGTGTGATGACGTAGGTAGATGGTCAGTATGATGACGTAGGTAGATGGTCAGTATGATGACGTAGGTAGATGGTCAGTGTGATGACGTAGGTAGATGGTCAGTATGATGACGTAGGTAGATGGTCAGTATGATGACGTAGGTAGATGGTCAGTATGATGACGTAGGTAGATGGTCAGTATGATGACGTAGGTAGATGGTCAGTATGATGACATAGGTAAATGGTCAGTATGTTGACGTAGGTAGATGGTCAGTATGATGACGTAGGTTGATGGTCAGTATGATGACGTAGGTAGATGGTCAGTATGTTGACGTAGGCAGATGGTCAGCATGATGACGTAGGTAGATGGTCAGCATGATGACTTAGGTTGATGGTCAGTATGATGATGTAAGCGGATGGTCAGTATGATGACGTAGGTTGATGGTCAGTATGATGACGTAGGCAGATGGTCAGTACGATAACGTAGGTTGATGGTCGATACCAATACGTATGTTCATGGTCGGTATGATGATGTAAGTAGATAGAGAGCGATAATTCAGCTTGGATTCGTCAAATTAAGAAAAGTAACCATTTGTGGAGAAACACAGTAGTCGTTCCTGCACGATATGGGTGGCGCTTGAAAACTTTAGGTAAGGATAAATAGGATTCAAGTTGGTCACTCAAATCCTGAAAACTGGCAATTTGAGTGAAATCAGTTTGTTTAATCCCACACTCCTAACATGCCCCCCTCCCCAACTTAACGGAAATCGAAGTTGCCTTGACCGCCCCCCCCCCCATCTCCAATCACGTGCGAGAAAACATTTTGCAACAAGTGTTAACAATTTGTTTACCTCTCGCTTGACGCGGTGATCTCCTAACGTTAACATTGTCACGAGCACTTTAAAAGCACGTGAATCAGCTCAGTGTGAGTGAAACACTCGCTACCCTCACCCCAGAAACTACCACTTTTACAACCTTCCCAATCCCCTGAAAACTATCATCTGTGTCCCCCGCCCCCGCCCCGCCCCTCCATCCCCCACCCCCATATCCGGAAACATCCAATGGCTGCTATACGGATTTCTCCTGTCATTTCCTTGTCTGTGTCACATTCACAGTGAAAACATTCCTAAATGTTCCGAACAAATCCACTAATATTGGAACATTTATTTGTATTTTGTTCCGAGTAAGAAACAATCTCATCTTTTATAACAAAATGTTTAGACTTCAGACAAATTTATAATTAAATATGTCAACTTTTGGCTACTGAATTTCGTCCCCAACTCTTCCAATTAATAAATTAATTACGGTAGGGCCTATGTCTTAAGGCAAATGAACAATTTCCTTTTAAAACACAGCGATCCACTAGGCTGATGAAGTAGAGTTCATCTGTTTCTTGACCTCGGCTTAGGAAAGGCTGGTGTGGTTAGTTTTATGCCCAGCCGCTTTTACTTCCCCCAACTTAAGTCAGGTGCCCATCAGAGCTGGGTGAACTCAGTGTCACAAGTGCGAACTCGAGACCTTAGGGCTAGCAGCCAAAAGCTCTACCGTTCGACCACGCCTTCTCCTAAGGCAAGTTGTTAATTACAAATTTTAGTTTTTTGTCCCTCTATGAAGAATGATCCACGTTTTTATGTGTGTACGATATCAAAACATGTTGTCGTCTGCCACGGTTCTGTCAAGTTTTTGTAAAGCAGAGCTGCCCGTCTCATGTGCCGATGTAAGGGGATGTAATCACATCCTGTAAGCTGCTTGATGGACAGGCCAGGTCACGTGATGTTATGTTCGCTAATTATTAATCAACGGAATAGAGCAATAGCAGGACAGATCATAGAAAAGTTTCGTTTCTTTTCCAGTTACCTCCCCCCCCCCCCCCCCAAATCACAATCCCCGTGCTAAAATTAAACGAAACAATTAAACGTTTTTAAACAACCAATTTCTTAATCACGTGACTTGGATTAATTATTTCCAAGATTTTTATTTCTGACTTGATATTTGTGATTTCTTTTTGTTAGAAAAATACATGTATGCGGAAAAAAAATTTAATCAAACTATTTTCTTAAAGTAATTTGTGTCTGCGTATAGCGTAAGAAAATAAAATCCAATTCGTAACTGGCTTTCCCGCAGGCTATTTTTAGCACTTTAACTTTTATTTTGTTTTAACGCCGATGTAAGCGGAGCTAAAGTGTTGGGCACTTTAAAAAATATTTTAATGGCTCGGCTATTGAATTTCTTAGACTGAATATTGGACGGCAGGATTGAATTAGTCTGCCAGTTTGCGCTGACTGGGTCATTTTAGAAAATATTATACGCCGATCAATAAATTGTAGTCTATTGAATTATCGATTTTTACGTTTCTAAAAATCTTTCTGAAATATACGCATGGCATCGCGCTTTAAAAAAAAAATTGTAGACAATTTGACCAATTTTCTGGCAACCTTACGGGAAGTAGAAGTAGACATGTCGCCAAGCAGAGAAAGTAGAGATTATCGGTAAAGTAATTTTTTTCCTACACGTTCGCCTTAAATTACTGTTGTACAATAAAATACGCATCTGGTTAACAGATAATGTATGCACATCTTTAAGAAATATATTTTTATACATACCTTACTTACCTTCTAAACTTTCCTAATAAACACATCTTTGTACACATCTACTATACTTATATTTAATACATTTCTATTATACATGTACGATTGATGCACACATTGACTGTACATAACTGGATTGCGTTCGGCTAATATTATTATTATATGAAAACACGTCCACATATTGCAAATTACTATACATATGCCTATATTTTTTTCACGTATCATTACCTCACACATATAACATTTGCAACCCACTCAACGCCAACCCTCTTTGCCCACAAATATAACGTTTGTGCAACCGCTGACCCCAACCCCACAAATATAACGTTTGTGCAACCACTGACCCCAACCCCACGAATATAACGTTTGTGCAACTACTGACCCCACACCCTACAAATATAACATTTGTCCAACCACTGAACCCAAACTCCACAAATATAACATTTGTGCAACCACTGACCCCGAACCCCACAAATATAACATTTGTGCAACCACTGACCACGAACCCCACAAATATAACATTTGTGCAACCACTGACCCCAAACCCAACAAATATAACATTTGTGCAACCACTGAACCCAAACCCCACAAATATAACATTTGTGAACCACTGATCACTGACCACGAACCCCACAAATATAACATTTGTCCAACCACTGAACCCAAACCCCACAAATATAATGTTTGTGCAACCACTGATCCCAAACCCCACAAATATAACATTTGTGCAACCACTGATCCCAAACCCCACAAATATAATATTTGTGTAACCACTGACCCCGAACCCCACAAATATAACGTTTGTGCAACCTATGAATCCAAACCCCACAAATATAAAATTTGTGCAACCACTGACCCCGAACCCCACAAATATAAAATTTGTGCAACCACTGGCCCCGAACCCCACAAATATAATATTTGTGCAACCACTGACCCCAAACCACACAAATATAACGTTTGTGCAACCACTGAATCAAAACTCCACAAATATAAAATTTGTGCAACCACTGGCCCCGAACCCCACAAATATAACATGTTTGCAACCACTGACCCCAAACCCCACAAATATAACATTTGTGCAACCAGTGACCCCAAACCCCACAAATATAACATTTGTGCAACCACTGAACCCAAACCCCTCTATAACATGTCTGCAACCGCTGATCCCAAAGCCCACAAATATAACATTTGTGCAACCACTGAACCCAAACCCCACAAATATAAAATGTGTGCAACCACTGAACCCGAACCCCACAAACACAACGTTTAACCCACCCAGTGACCGCCCCCAGTGCATCACGCTAATCATATTAATCTGCTCAGGTGAGTTCAATCATTAGCCGGGGGTATCTGTTTCAACCTAACTCAACGCTCTGCGGGATTATAACGAGACTCACGGGAAGTGGGCCGAGTGACACAGAGAGAAAACAAACTGGTCAATTAGGGCTCTTTGTATAATTAATTTCTATAACCTAATCAATTTGTATAATTAGCTAGATATTATTTCAAACAGAGCAGAAAGCTTGATAATTTGAATATTTTTAACATGAAATATAACCTAACTGTGGATAATCAGATTTTTTTAAGCAGTCACGTATTGTATAATTCACCCAATGGCATATTATAAAACACGAATTGTTTATTACATTCTGGTAACACGCTATCATAATCTGTCAGCAGATGATACAATTGTATGAACGTCTGTTGATGATGTTGTATAGTTGGTCCTGGTCACTCTGTTGGATGTTGGTCTCATTGGTCACTATATGTCACGTGGTCATGCGGTCTATCCATTAACTGAACACTCTCTGGTCACTCTAATCACGTGGTCTTGAGGTCACGCCATGGCCTGGAACCCTAGTGGTCATTTGCTGGTCACTTAATGTCACGTGGTCATTGGTCACTACATTGGTCATAAGACTAGTGGTCAGTTTCTAATGATTGCATATGCTCTAGGTCTTGATGTCATCTACCGGTTAATCTATTGAGATCATCTTCTAATCCCCTTGATCCCAACTGAGCTATTCGAACATCAAGAGTTTCTTTCAGTCATCTATTCGGGCAATGCCCCCCCCCCCCACCCCTCAAAAACGTCAGCCCCCCCCCCCCCCTCCGCCCAATGAAATAGAATTTATATACACAATTTATTATTCAGCACCCCCCACCCTAAAGTTTCAAGCCCCCTCCCACGGAAAAAAATGTCTGAAAGAAACACTGCCGGCATCTATGAGACCCTGCCCTGTTTTCATGATGTGTAAAACGTGAGATTGCGCTTGCTTTTGCCGGAAATAACCGGTTCTCTTTTGTATTTCAGCACTGGCCATGCACACATTTCATGACGATTTCAACGAAGAAAATGTGCCGGTTCCGGTCTTGTTGCCGGGTGTTGAAACCGTGAACGTCAGCGAGGGGGGTGTCGCCATCTTACCGTGCTCCGTCAAACATCTTGGTACTAAGCAGGTAAGCTGTGTGTAGGTGTGTGTCTTTAGTTCAATGGGTCTAGTACTTGGTGTGTAGTTCTAGATGTGTAGTTCTATGTGTGTATTTATGTGTTTTTAGTTCAATGGGTAAAATCCTTTGTTTGTAGCTCTATCTGTACAATTCTTTGTGTAGTTCTAGGTGTGTAGTTGTATGTGTGTGATTCTGTGTGTTCAGTCATAGATGTGTAGTCCTTGATGCGTAGTTTTAGGTGTAAAGTTATCTGTGTGTAGTCCTAGGTGTATAGTTCTTCTGAGTAAATTTCTCTGTGTGTGTATTGTATGTGTGTAGTTCTCTGTGCAGTTCTGTGTGTGTAGTTCTATGAGTGTAGTTCTATGTGTGTTGTTCTCTGTGTGTAGGTCTATGTGTGTAGTTCTCTGTGTATAGTTCTCTGTGTTCAGTTTTTTGTTGGTAGTTCAATGTGTAAATTTCTCTGTGTTTAGTTATATGTGTGTACTTCTGTTCTCAATATGTCTGTGTTTAATCTAAATGTATGACACTCAGATTCACTAAAGTACACGACCCCCATCTGACTTGGCCTAAAAAAACGTCACCAGTTTTTGCCCTAATGCAGTATTGTTGTTGTTGCTGTTTGATATCCTGGTTTACGTCTGTATGACGCAAGGGGGATTAGCGTGTCACTGCTGGTGGACTGTGCTTAGTTACGTAGGTCCAGCTATATCCGTTAATCCGGATTAATCCTCGCGAGACGGGTGTACGGAGCTGTAAAGGGCTGTAAGGTCATAGACTTATCACCCAATTATACATGCGAGTTAAATGTAATGTAAGTTCAACGTGTGTTAAGTTAAATCTAGAATATCATCAACCAGGGTTAAACCAGGGTTTAGTTTAACTATCAATATAGTGTAAGCTAAACCTAATAGGTTATGTTTTAGCTTACTAAATAACTAATTTAAAAAACAATGAGTTAAACAAGAAATTCGTATGTTTTGGCGAATATTTTCCTATCTTTTGTCCCTATTCTAGTTAATATTTACACGCTGTTGTCGGTATTCTAGCTAATATGTACACTCCTTTTACCCAGTTCTAGCTAATATTTACACCCGGTTGTGGGTATTCTAGCTAATATTTACCCCTGTTTACCCAGTTCTAGCTAATATTTACATGCTGTTGTCCCAGTTCTAGCTAATATTTACACTATGTTGTGAGTATTCTAGTTAATATTTACTGTCTGTTTACCCAGTTCTAGCTAATATTTACCCCCTGTTTACCCAGTTCTAGCTGATATTTACCCCCTGTTTACTCAGTTCTAGCTAATATTTACCCCCTGTTTACTCAGTTCTAGCTAATATTTACACCCTGTTTACCCAGTTCTAGCTAATATTTACCCCCTGTTTACCCAGTTCTACCTAATATTTACCCCCTGTTTACCCAGTTCTAGCTAATATTTACCCCCTGTTTACCCAGTTCTAGCTAATATTTACCCCCTGTTTACCCAGTTCTAGCTAAAGCTACCCACTCGGCTCTACCGGATGGTGGCCTGAAGGCCGTGAAAAGAGATCTCATTAACATATTATCTCCCTTTAGTTCCGCCCCCTGAAATCCAGTTTGAAAACATCCCATGGGAGACCACTCTACTCAGCCGCGAGTTTCGCCATTTCGCGTCCCATTTTTCCGCGGACTCTTTAAGGGAGTGTTCACACTTATTTGGTTGTGGACTTTCTAATGGGGTGTTCACATTAATTTTCTTACTCATTTGCCGAGCACACAATAAAAAAACACAAAATGTTTGTTTCGTTTCCGGATACTCTCGTCGACCGAATTGTTTTTACACTTGTTTTTGAGCTTTAGATATTTCAAACGATGGAAACTGCCGTCAAAACTATATGCTTGAATCATTTCAGCCTCAAAGTAGTACTTAGTCAATTAAAACTTTATTACTGTACTCAGAAGTACTTAGTCATTCAAAACGTTATAACTTAACTAAAAAAAATAGTATTTAGTCATTCAAAAATTTATAACTACTAAAGAAAGTAGCACTTAGTCATTCAAAACGTGATTACTTTACTAAACAAATACGAAGAAATAGTAGGTCTGTATATTATATATTTATCTAAACAAATTATTATCATACTTTTTCTTTCCGTTCCTTGTGGAGCATAAGGCCTCTTTCAAACTGTGTTTCTTCCAGGCATCTCTTCGGGGGGAGGGGGGGGGGGGCTTCCGAAAAAAGTCTACCGACCCCCCCCCCCCCAAACGAAATGGAATTTAGATAGAAAATATATACTTTTAACAGTGTTAACAGTGTCCGTCCGTCCCCGTCCCCCTCAAACAAACTTTTCAAGTGCCCCCCCCCCCCCGGAGAATAAAGTCTGGAAGTAACACTGCGCTTTCAAAGCCTTCCATTCTCCAATCTTTTCAGCAGTCCCCTATCCTTTGGCTGCCTCTATGGCTCTTTTCAAAGCGTGTGCTTTAATCCATCACTATTTCTTCCCCATGATTTGCCATTAATTTTATCTAAACAAATACTTAGTCTAAAATAGCAGTGTTCTTCTGTTCCTAATGGAAAACATCCCTCGCCTAATGCACTAGTGGCTACCAGTTTAAAGTACCCGTTGTCATAGCTGTCTGGTCACGTGGTACCCATAGATCCAGGTAAACTCTGGCCACCCTGGGCATATGGCAGGTCGTAAAGTGGGGAATGGATGAGGGCAGTTGTGAGAAATGAGGGCCACCCCTCCCCGCCCCTGCCCCACCCTGCCCCCGCGCCGCCCCCACCCAAGCCTCCGCGCGCCCCCTGTTAATAAACGTGAAGCACCATGTCAACACCCAATGGAGGTAACTCACGCTGCTGTCTCGTACGTCCGCCTTGTTTTAATGGTGGGTAATTGACCCCATCTGTGAGCCGTCCCCCGGGTGTTGTATGGAGCCCACCGGATCAGTGAAATGGGTTAAGCAGGTAGACTTTTAACATCTCTAATTACCGCGTCAGTACACGTATACCCCATCTCTGCGTCCATTGTTATTTAAACTTTGGAAATAATCGAAAGAAATAAACCGTCCAATTTTATAACACTTTTTTTTTCTTCTACTCTAAAGGAGACCTTTTTTTTTAAATGTTCATACTTTCAAGTAGTTGTTTTATCGTTTGTTTGTTTGTTTGTTTGTTTTTGTTGTTTGTTTTGTTTGTTTGTTGTTGTTGTTTTTTTTTTTGTTTTTTTTTTAACTCGACTACTCACATTTTTACTGCGTAGCGCTAAAACTTCATCCTATTATATCTACAGTAAACTTCATATTGACTCTATTCTGCTGCTTGTGTACTCCCCCCTCCCCCCTCTCCCACTCTTACACATTCTTCCCCCACCCCCCCCCCACCCCCTTCCGCCACACACATCCACACAACCTTAGCATTTAAATTCAGAAAGTGCTGCACTAAGAGTTCATAATATCTTCCAGAACAATCGCTTGTAAACAAGATTTTTTTTTTTTAAGTATGTATGGAACTCCGTTTTCCATTAGAATAAACATCACCAAATTAGAATAATAATTGTCAGAATGTGACACAAATATGTGCAGATCACCATCAAATGATAAAAAAGTAATGTGAATGTGACATCAAGTTTATGAGAGGGATGTAAACAGTGGCAATTAGTTGATGATTTTTGTTTTCTGTCCCTTGTGGTCATCTCAAGAGCTATATGGGTTCCACTGGCCTGGGGGGTAAAACTGGGGGGTAAACATCCCGGGGGGGTCGTTCGCTGTTTAGGTCAAGGTTATTGGCTGTTTTAAGAGTTGACATATCGTGTGAGAGGTGATTTCGCTGTGAGGAGATTTCGCCTGTGAAAGGAGATTTCGCTGTTTGACAAATGAAAAGAGACGATTCGTTCCGGCATTGAAATGAGAGAAATTCATGAGTTGCTGAGGCCAAGGGCAGGGGCGGTTACTCCGTGACAATGCCTGCGTGTGGGATAATTATCTCCCTTTGTTGAATGGGGGGGCCAGACTTGTTAATTGCGGTAATAGAACGCGCAGTGCAAGCTGTAGTCATCAATGCAATCAGTGTCTGCGGTACATGGCTGGTCCTAGGGTGGGGCGCTAGGGTGCTTTGTTACGTCCGGGGAGGGGTGGGGTGTGTGGGGGCGTCTAACTGGGTGGAATAAGATGGAAAAATTATGAAATTGGTAGGGGTGGTGGTGGAATATAAATAAAGACAAGACAAGATGGGATTGGGTAAAGTCTGCAGGGGGGGGGGGGGAATGGGTGGGAGTGAATGCCAGAGGTGAATGGGGGGGGGGTCTATACAATAATGGGAGGGATGGGATGGGATGAATATCAAAAATGGGTGGGAGATGAGAGTGAATGTCAAAAGGGAGGATGTGAATTTCAAATATGGTTTGGTGGGGGGGGGGGTGAATATCTAATATGGGATAACAGGTGTAAGCCCAGGGTTTCTTTTAGACATTTTACTCCGGCATGGGGGTGGCATTTGAAACTTCTGGAGGCGGGGTGGGGCGGACAATTGTTAAAGTATTTTTTAAATTTTAAATGAATATTTTATCTGTTTCTTCCGTTACATACTTCTGGCCCATTTTGTTGAGAGGCAGATGGCCGTGTTTGTTTAGTGGAGGATGGCCCTTTTATTTAGAGGCGGGTGGTCCTATTGTTTAGTACAGGATGGCCATATTTGTTTAGAAGAGGATGGCCGTGTTTGTTTAGTAGAGGATGGCCGTGTTTTTTTAGTGGAGGATGGCCCTATTTGTTAGTAAAGATTGGCCCTGTTTGCTTAGAGGCGGATGGCCCATTATGTTTAGAGGCAGATGGCCCTGTTGTTTAGTGGAGGATGGCCCTATTTGTTAGTAAAGATTAACCCTGTTTGCTTAGAAGCGGATGGCCCTGTTTACGGAAAACTGCCTTAAACAAACAGTTTGTGGCGGTGTAAAAAAAAAACTTCAGCCATTAATTTACTTTTTTTTTTGGCATGGTGGCAGACCCAGGGTGTAGTGAGAAAATAAACGAAGCTT